GGGCCGGCAAACTGTAAACTGGATGGCTAAACTCGCTCGGCGTGTTATCTCTCTATTTGGCCAATTTCTACTATTTCCAGCCGCGACCTCAAGCCTGGTAGAGGCTAGTATTTCAGTACATCACGGTGCAATAGACAACATATTGGCAGTGTCACAAGCGGTAACAATACATCTGCATTTGTTGCAAAATAAATCAGGATAGCACATTATCACTCATACAAAGCACATCGTAGCATGTCAGTTGTATGTTATGGAGGAAACTATCCAGTACTTCCTTTGTATCTACACCGACATCCTCACATCCCGGTTTCCTACCGACTTTCACCCTTCTATTCTTCCGTACGTTTACAAAACAGGTAGCTGTACTTTGGAACATCTTAACGTCTCAATACTGGTTCATGTAACTCTGTATAATTTATTTTAAAACGTTGAGAAAAACATCTTTTAAGAACTAGCATAGTCTTGATTTTGCTTCAAAAGCCATACTATTTAGAAACCTAGGCACCTAGGTTGTTAAATAGATGTGAAAGTGTAAGCAAACTGCATACAAACGTGCTCAGATTCACAATGATGCCAACATGATGGTCTGTATCTGTATCTGTATAGCCGGTATAACCGCATTTCGGCGTAACACACCAGCTTCGCGGGCACGCGGCGCGGCGGCAGCTGGCTATATTACACCGATCGACTTGTTACACCTAACCCTTGAACTTCTAACTCTAGACATTGTAAAGCTATCTAATGACAATGCCCCTACTGTACTTGGTGACAATGAGTTCCACTCTGTGATAGTTCTAGGAAAGAATGAGTTCTGTGTAGAATGTTGGGACCCTTACTGTTTATATGTCAAAAGGTCGTGTTGTAGTCGTCACAGCCAGGCTGTCAGGAAACAATAACAGATCATCCCTCAGTTCCTGCGCGATGACCCGCACTCATTGTACTCTACTGTTTATTAGATAACGGCAGACAAAGAACTGAGATGACTGACACTCTCCCGTACTGTGTACATGTTGTACCTATATACCATCTGGTATGACATAATTTCCCTGAATACCCTAGAGAAAATGGCATCTCCCTGCACAACTCAATAAACCATGGCGGGTAGCCTGAAGGTCAGACTTCTCCGGGCACATCGTTGAAGAGATTCATTTGCCACGCATAGATACAGTTACTAGAACATTCTTTCATCAGTGACAAACTGGAAGGATAAGGATACTGACCTCCACAAGATGGACTGATAGCCATCGAAAATTTGGAGGTCAGTATCCTTATCCTTCCAACTTGTCACTGATGAAAGAATCTTCTAGTAACAACTTCTCCGGGCACGTTTTTAAATATTCTCATTGTCTCCGCCAGCAAGCTTACCTTAAGGCTAACATGTTGTCAGCAGAGTGTGTTTGTGGTTTTGAATTAACTCAAAAAAGTAGTAGGCATTTGTCGGTCTTAAAAGACCATGAAGTACTACGCCCTATACTTATTCTTAGCTATGCGTTTAAAACGTCTCAGTTCTGATGCGAGTCTCTGTTTTTCTTCCCCCCGATGTAAGCCCTTCTTAACTTCCTGTACGTCTCCAACGTGTTCTGATTAACTCAAAAATGTACGGAAAGACTATTACAAGAAACTTTGAGACAGCTTCTTGAGTATTTTGATATATTTGGCATGTAACTTACTAGTAACTTAGGTCTGGACATTTCAAACAAGTTTAGATTTTTGGTCCCCTAGCGACTTTCTTTGGTCCTGCAGCGGATGTCGTACTTGATGTTTCGCCAGTTATAAAAACCGCATTCATAAACAGCACTAATAAACGAAAACGACGGTTCTAATACTCACCAAGCAGAGGTTTGGGGTTATTTTTAGCGTGATTTTAGGCTTTTGTATCGGGGTTTCTCTTTTGCACTGATTTTTTTTCCCACCAAACCCAAAATTCAGTGCAAAAGAGAAACCCCGATTAAAAAAAAGCCTAAAAACACGCTAAAAATAACAGCAAACCCAAGCCTCTGCTTGGAGAGTAGGTTCTAAAACGTCCGTCGAAGAGCCTGCACCGGAGGCTACAGCAGCTCAATCATCCAGGTCTCCCCACACAAAGGGGAGGGGAGGGCACAGCTCATTAATATTCCGGTGCACAGGGGTCGACTTCCTGAGGCGAGGCGTCGGTACAGTACAGTCACACGGCGTCAGGAGAGGCGGGCCGGGGTACGTCCTCTCTCTGCCCGACACACCTGGAGTTAGTTCTCACCTGGACGTGCCGACCGACGCCACATCACACACGGGACGTTTCTCACCGTACCCCTCAAGTACTGAAGTATCACAAGGTCTATAACCAGGTAGATGTTCGTGTTTTCTGTAGTTGCTTCTACTCTTTCTGTTCTTAAGGAAGGTCTTTCAGGTTTAAAATATCCAATTACTCGGCCTTTTCGTCGACAATGTTTCAATAGGCGATTTACATACTTACACAACATGCTTTTAAGTCTAAGTTGTGTTATGCCTGTTGCGTTGGTGTTCGCAACAGACTTTTTAGCGTGTATTTGCAAAAGGTCAAGCTAATATTCACTACAAGCGTCGGGGCATGAATCCTGCTTTTAGACGAACTTTTGAACAACTCCGCCGCTCGTAAAGGTGGCGACAAGTCAACGTCAGTGTCATGGCAAACATGTGTAGACGCCGTTCCACGTATGTTGACGCGAT